GACAGAAGGTACAAAGAGGGGCTGGACCCTGAAGCCTGTGAGTTAAGGCAGGGACGTGCTTCCACAAGCTGCCTCTGCACAGAACCAGGGTGCACATAGCCCCCCTGTTCCTCACAGCCCAAGCTGTTACCCCTGCCACGACCAACCTTGCCTGGAGACAAGGAAACTCCTCTTTGCCTGAGTTCCCACTACCGCCTTCCCCCCCCCTACAGCTCGAGGACCGGGACACCTTCCTTTATGTTTTTAGGCATGGAAAAGTAAGTGTCTACTTAAACACTTTAAGGTTTATTGCTCGAGTCCAGCCCTCGCCGATGATATTTGCAAGTCCAGTGTAATTACCGCAGGGTTGAAAAACGAGTTCTGTGAGTTACGGTACATCATTGTTTTTCTTTTTTCCTTTTTTTTTTAATGTTACTAAGAACAATGTGCCTTTCATTTCCTGCAGTGCTGTTAAGGTACTTGCAGCTCAAAGCAGCAAGAATACATTAAAACTAAAAAGCATTTGGTTTGGGCATTAAACATTTTTATTTTTCAGATAAATGCCGCTCCCTCCACAGCGACTGAGCAAGGAATTTGGCACACATTTGTGATCAGCTGGAATAATGAGTGCTGTCTCGCTCGCTTGAAATGGGAGAATTCACCAACTCCTTTAAAAAGAAGTTGCTAATCTGTGACTGAAGTGGTGGGCTACCACCTTGGAGTTACCAAGGCACAGTGCCGCATGCTCCAGAGGCACCACCCGTCTGCAGAGTGCCACGGCGCTCCCCCGCGTGACACAGCCCTCGGCGGGCACCTTCCCGCTGCCGTTATCAATTCGCCAGCACCACCACATCAAACACCAACGCTGCTCGGCGGATGCCTGACAGCCGCTCACCGAGAGCAGCAACAGCGCCGCACCGCAGTTACCAGCCCGTTTGTGCCGCTCCCTGCCTGGCCCCGGAGTTAAACTGCTGGAGTGAGCAGGATGTGACTCTTCATGTCCCCCGGGTCGCTGAAAGGCAGAGTCACAAACATCCCCACTCTGCAGACAGAACGACGGAAAGGTTTTCCTACGAAAGTTCAAAATAATCCTACTTACAAAAAGAAACTCTACCCGATAGCCATTCTCAGGACTGAAAGGGAGAATAAAAGCCCCAGAGAGCCCACGGCAGTGCTGAGCCGGGAATTCAGTTGTTCCTGATCCCCAGGCACGCAGTCACTTCACTACACCAGACTAGCCATTTTGTCATCCTCAGGTCACTGAAAACTAGTTTGTTTATAAAATACAACCCAAACCAGGGCGTTCGACAAGCTTTTAAAATCAATAACCTTTTTTTTTTTTTTTGATTGGGTGAATTGCAAAATCACTTTGCCGTGCCAACTGAAATGAAGCTTTTACATACCATTAGGCAACTACAAAAGTGGGGAATTTTCCACACGGGTGTTCCACCCAGCTCGTCAGAAAAAACCCTCATTTGAGAAGGTATCAGGACATCGGAACACGCTCCTGCCTTTCAGATGAAGTTGCTGGCCTCTTTCATCATCCCTCCTGAAAATTTCCTCACCCACATAGCAAACAGCCCAATCCTGGGCTCCTTCCTCTCCCCGGGCAGCTCTTTCCCGTGCTGTCGGAGCTGGGCGGCAGCAGCCCCGCGCACACCGCGGGCTGCCATGGCAGCTTTACCCCCGCTGCCAGGACGAGCCGTCTGGCCCTGGGACCATGCATGCGCCAGCCAGCCCCGTCTCGCCCGCGTGTTTGCTTTTCCCGACCATCACACTGGATCTCTCCCTCTCTCTCTCCAAAAAATAAACGCATAATATGCCTGCACACTTTTGCAACAGCGACTGCCCGAAAACGACTCTGGCTTCCTGAAGGCTGAAGAAAAGGCTGGAGGTGGTGTTAACGCCACCACCGAGAGCGGGAGACGTCACCATCTTCTCTGTGATGATTCTGCTCCGGAAAACGCAACTGTAAAGCCCACTAGAAAAAAGGAGTGGCTCTAAAAAGCGAAAGGCTTTTTTTTCCCATGAACTCCACTTTCATGGAGGTTAGACACACAGGCTTTGCAAAATAGCACATACAATTTAAAATGATAAATTAAAATCTGTAGTAGGAGGCCTTCTTTTTCAGGGCTGTATCGTTGACCCTTCTGAACCTACATTACTCAAGGTATGCAAAATATATGTGTATAATAAATAGCTTTAGAATTTATGGAGTGGAACAGAAAGGATATTAACAGGCAAGTAGAGAGGCTGTATAACCCTCACAAGGCCTTTAAAGATTTATTTTTTTAAAATGAAGGAATGCATGCATGTAAAAGGTAGTGCTTAATCGATACTCTTCTTTGTGCCTTCCAGAAACACATGCAAAATGATCCCAAATCTGCCCTCAATCTGGTCATTCTGCTGTCAGCGTCAGTGGGAATAAGATTATTCACAATACTGTTTTTCTTCGATTTAAAAAAAAAATTCCTCCCTGTGTGGGCTCATTCCCCCTCTCAGTAAAATCAATTACGGGGCTCCCATTGACTCCGGAGGGATTTGGATCAGGCCCTGTGGAAGTGGGTCTACAGCAAGTGTAGAACAAGGCAGTTAATATGATTTATTGTGTCCGTTCCTGTGCGTGCAGTTTTTCATTTTCTAAAGCCTGCAGTTTTGCTTTCATCCTCACGTTCAGCAGATAAGAGCTGCGGATCGGGGTTGATCTACGCACGGGGTAGGCTGCAGGCGGGGGGCTGCGTGTGCGGAGAGCGAGCTCAGCGCCTGCCCGGGGGGAGCATCCCGCTCAGGGCCCACCGCCCGCCCCCCGTGCCTTTGTCAAGACAACCTCCCGCACAGGCACTGCAAAAGGTGCGGAATCAGTTAGGAGGCTTCTGCTGTGGTGGGGAAAATACCCTTTAGTAAAACAGAAAAAGCAAAATCCTTTTCCTGTTCATTAAAAAAAAAGTACCTTTTGCAGGTCACCAGTAAAGTTCCCAGAATTCACTAAAAGCTTGTTTTACAAGGAAGACTCAGGCTCCAAATCAGAGGTATTTCATTTCACCAGGCTCTTACAGATTTTACATTATTTAACACTGCTACTGCTGCCATCGGTGCGGTTGTTGAGTAACAGGCTGCCTGAAGACTGCAGGGTAGGAGCTGTGGTTTAATAGCTGCGAAAGAATATTATCTAAACACGGAATAATAACATGCTTGGTGCCTAATACATTCTAAATTAAAATATGATTTAATAAACATAGGCAACATATTCCCCACAAAAAAAAAAAAAGCAGAATTGGCAGAACAAAAATCACAGTTTAGTCAGTTCTTCTCTTAACCTCGCAATCCTTTGGCTACAAATTAGAATTTCTGTGAACAGGATTGATAAGGGAAATTAGGCACTGTCTTTCAGAAACAACAGACATGTTTCAAGACGGTATGTTTAGAGATGAGCAGCACAAAACCTATCAAAACTTTTCCTGTTTCAGTGGGAGGAAAACACAGGAACCCCAAAAGCCAAAATCTCACCAGCCCAATGAGCCCTATATGCTCGTACCTTAGAGCTTTCTAAGCACCTAAACCTCTTTTTTCCCCCTAATTCCATCTGCCATTTAAACCCTGAGCCAAACACAGCCCCTCCAGCTTGCTCAGTTGCTAACAACGTCCCCAGAACAGACACTGACCACAGCTACGGCTGTAGGACGCACTGCAAAGATCTGAGGAGAAACCAGTCGGTCACTCTGTGAAGGGGCAATCACGGGCGTGTTGTTAAAGGTACAATATTTGTACTTGGGATGATTTAAATGTACCAGAAATGGCGGGAAGTTGTAGAGACACAAACCCTTCACACCAGTGCTTTTCCCTGCGTGCACAGTAGACCCCCGTGCAGCGAATCCCCCATCTACATTTAGGTCTTTTTTTAAAAATGTAGTTAGGGGTTTAAAAAAGTCAAGGAAAACTATTGATACTAACCGCTTTCACTTTGGGAGACATTATTTCTAAGCCCTAAATATAAGCAGTAAACCAAAACTCAGTTGCTGACAGGCCAACAAAAATTACTGAGGTCTACCTCACTCAGAGAGAAAAAGGAAGAGAAGCTGTTCCCGTACACACGTCCTTATCCTTTCACATCCAGTCCCTACAGAAATGCCCTACAACTGAATGATTTCTCTCAGGCTGCTGTACAATGCAGGCCATTGATTCCGCAGAAGCTATTGCTTCCACTTGAAAACCGCCCCAGTGCAAAAAATCGTGGCGTTCCCAAAAGTCACAGTCCTGCTGCTACTTCCAAACAAGCTCAAGCCGCTGCCACCTGCCACAGCGGTACTGGGAACGTTGGGAAGGAGCAACAAGCCCCAGCCCAGCCTCCCTGCCTCGCTACCCGCAGTATCCACAACCCATAAAGAGCGCCAGGACCAGCCCCGCCGGGGCACCTGCCCGCGCTGCTGGGGTGTTCGCAGGTGCGTGGTCCTGCCCCGAAACCGCAGTGTTTGGGAGCGTTAGCAGCTTCCTGCGGGGCAGAACGGGTCTGCAGAAACGTACTTCAAAGCAACCATTTTGTTTCGCGGGACTGCCTGCGATTCCGCGCCCTGCAACGGCGGCTGGCCACGTACCGAAAGTTCGGTACTTGAGTGTGTCGGCGAGCATCAGTGAACAGAATGATGTTAAAAGCACACGGCTAAAACTGAAAGTGCTGAAGCACACCCCCCCAGGGGGTCATGACTCACGGCCCAGAGACTGAAAGCCTTTGCCACGAGGAGTAAGGATAAGAGTTGCATACAGCAGGCTCTTTAACGGCATCTCCCTAATTAAAATAATTTTTAAAGGAAAAAAATGGCTCTCTCCAGGACTGGAGGGACAAACGCCACCTGAGATCAGTGAAGGGGTGGCAGCTTAACTACGGGGAGAGTACACAACCTAGCTGCAGCTATCCCATGTCAATTACTCTGAATAATCTTTTTATATTAGACACAGGAAAAAAAATGTTTCTAAGTATGGGCTGTTTTAATATCCCAAAGCAGGAGCAGCAGGTAAGAACTTACCATTTTCTGGCTGGTCCTTAATATCAGCTTCACTTGGCTGGCTGGGACTTTCAGATTGACTTGAATCTGAAAAACATAAAATACAGCCAAAAATTACAGGGTCTGCTGTGGAAAATAGATCAGAGGCGCCAGACTTCCTCAAAAGGCTGAGAGTACAGACTAAGGCCGGTTGTGTTGCACCAGGACAGGATAATGCAACAGTCCCGTGCCCAGGTAATATTTTTGCTGGGGAAAAAAAAAGGGAATCTTGTTTACGGCACTGCACAGAGTGCTTGGGGGGGGTGTTAGCATAAACTGAGCCTTGAGAATCCTCCTCTTTAGAGAAGGCATATTTAAGCTACTCTCCTACGTGTTTCTGTAACGCAGCCCCTGTGTTGTGTACAAACCAGAGCCTTAATCCGACACACAGTCAAGTCCCTGAACGTATTCTCAAGCAGGCACATAAAGGTAACCAAGCAACACTACAAAGTTGCGGGGATTCTTGTCTACAAATTCCCGGAACAAAATCTGGGCAGCTGATGGAAGAGCTGCTTTCCGTCCGACCCTCGCAGTGGTCACCGTCCTGGCAGCTGAGCGCAGTGCCCCCGCGAGCACCAGCCCCGAGCTCGCGCGAAGCGCGGCTCCGCGGGCCAGCACTCGCCACCCAACGCAACTTGCTGGCCCCAAACAATAGAGCGGCTTGTGGCAGGGCATGTGCAAACATGGGCGGTTTGCGGTTTTTACACCTTATTAACTCGACTTCATGCGAGGATCTTCGCTCTTCGGTTCAAAAAGTGCTCTTAGGAGAAGCTTTAGTCTAATTGTGTTTTCCTTCTTAATTATTTCTGTCCCTACGAAATGGGCAAAAAGGTCCTTTTACCTGTGTGGAAAAATATATATATTTTTTTAAAATAAAATCCCTCAAATTACTCTTTTCACAATTAATACAAATAGAAAAGATTTCTATTCCTCAGAAACTGCTCTGTAATGTACCGCTCCCATGACAAAAGTTTTTGCTGTGAAACAAAACTTGGGAAATGAAAGCACTTGCTACAGCATCACACCCACCCCCGGTCGCGGCAAACCTCTTCTCCGGCTTCACCTTGACTCGGCAGAGTTTAGAATGAGCTGTCTGAAATCTGACCACATTTCAGGGCAAAGCCAGTGCAAGAGCAAAAGGTCATGACTCTCAACTGTGATTAAATTGAAAATCTTACTTCTATTGCAACAGAGTGGTAACGCCACCCCTTCTTTTTCTTGGAGGTATTAATAGCGCTGGAAGAAGCAGTACTACTACTGACCCTGGGTCAAGCAATGCTAATTTATTGCTTTAGAAAGGTTCCTTGCTTTTAAGCAAATGAAGATTTTAATTACCGCAGAGCGCTATAAAGAAAATGCCTATTTTAAATATTCAAATTTTTTTTTTACCTGCTGACTGCATGCAGTAGGTATCGTTCAGAAGCTTAGAGGGCAATCTCGTATAAATTAAAAACTACAGGTAAAAAAAGTGCTCACAAAACAAATCTGATAAATTTCAGAATATAAACATTCAAAATATTTAGCAAAGAAAGCTTCAGTCCCGATATTTCTATGTAAAATCAATGAAATACTCCTAAAAAGTGCTCTGTTTCCCAGTGTGTCCGGAATCCATTTCCTCTCTTGTTTTCATTGGTTTTAATAATTTCACCAGTGGAGCTCAGCGAAACAAAAATTATTCTCACTGGCACAGTCCTGGTTTAGACACTGATCTTCTGAGCCACCTTTAACGGGATCTCAGATCAGCGACAGCAGACAGACTGCAAATCCAGCGCTGTTGGATTCGGGACACTGGATTTTGGCAAGAAGTTTCATGTTTCTGACACTGCAAAGGTAGAAACAAAGGTAAAATAGTAGGAATGTAAAATATTTAGTTAACATTCAAAGTCAACATTCAACGGATTTCATTTTACAGGGCAGGCATTAGGCTTTTGCTTCTTTTTTAGGCTTTTCTTTTCCTCCAGCGAGCCCTGGTTCAATCAGCGTTTGGGCTTCGTGTTTAGGGCCGGAATTCCACAAAAATTTATATATTTGAAAAAGTTACAGGAGAAATACGGGACTCGAAGCATGTTTTCCGTTCAAAATTTTAAAGGAGCCAGCAAAGC